CCTCTCTGCCAAATTTGAACCCGATCTGAGGTGGACAATCGGTAGCCTCCCCTTGTCAGAATTTAAACCAATCAGGGCGGGGGTCCCTCAGGGATCAGTGCCCCTTTGAGAGGGATTCGATTTTCTCCAAACTCTCTCTCTAAACTTTCGTCGTTTTCGAGGCAATAAAACCTACCAATTTCGCGAAGTTTTCACTCGAAAATTGTATTTATACTAGGAAACTGTGGGGTGGGGCGTTTTTGACTGAGAATTTCACAGTTTCCCCCTCTAATTACACGCAAGAGTAAGTAAAAATTCGGACAGACACTGCACGGTCAGATTTTTATAAAAATTTAATTTGTTGATAAACGTTGCAACCTTGCAATACAGTTACGCTCCTTAGTCAAAGTCGGGACGATTCCTGGACTAACTACTCTCTTCGTTAAGACGGCACACAGAGGGTCGAGTCAATGGGAGTGGTCGGACATGAAATGTTTTGCTAAGACTGCAAATTTATAAGTTCATTTCGTAAAATTTAAATTCGGAGGGGTGCAAATTGAAAAAAATGTCACGATAAAACCGATGGAACCACTTTCGGAACCGCAATTTTTGTATGAACGGAGTTAAAAGCATTCAAAGTTGCCAAATTTTGTCCGACCTCTCCTATTAACTTGATCCACTGTGCGGCAGCACTGCTGCGGGCCGTACCTTGAGGGAAAAAAGTGCACGATCATGGGAGTTCCGTTTGGGGAGGCAAGACGAGGGAGGAGTGAAAGGACCTGCCAAAGGCTCTCTTTTAGGTCTAGATTTTAGCTTGAGACGGAGCCTCGCATTCCTGGGAGCCGTCATAATGGACGTAATAAAGAGGTGGCCGACGTTTTCGAGAGTCGAAATCCCTTCATATTTCAATAGCTTCGCGAGGAGGAGAGGACGGGAGGTTAGACAGTAACATGCCCCTGTCACAAGCGCAACCCCCTCGATTAATCATGTAGAAACCCAGGTTGATGCCGCTTCGAACCACCTTTTTGCCATCTTGAAAAAAAAAAGCGAATGTACATTCAGATCTTACCCCCAATAAAATATTCAATTTTTGGAAAAGTTATTGTGAATGTTCGGATTTAATTTTGTAGAAAAAACCGATTTTTTCTTTTTTTTGGGGGGGGGACATGGGGCCTGCTTAAGAATACTCAGCCATAAACCATTCTACTGCTGTGGGGAGGAAAATTATCACATGTGCCATCTTGAAAAAACAGCGTATGTACATTTAGATCTTACCCCAATAAAGTATTTAATTTTTTGAAAAAGTATTGTGAATGTTCAGATTAAATTTTGTAGAAAAAAACCGATTTTTTTTTTTTTTTTTTTTTTTTTTTTTGAAAAACATGGGGCCTGCTTGAGAATACTCAGCCATAAACCATTATACTGCTGTGTGGAGGGAAATGATCACATTGGCGGCGCAGAAAAATGGTCAGATCAGGCATTTTGTCACCTACTTGAGCAAACAGTCAAATTTTTTAAATCAACCAACGTTGTATGTTTCTAAGAAAATCTCTGGATTCCTCGGAACTTAGAGAAGGAAAGATTTCAATTTAAATGAACATAATGATCCACATTATTTTTCCATGTTCACTCAAAGCAGAAAATTTTGCAGGACACACATATACCTAATGATTCAACTTCTCAGAGTCACCTAAATATGATTTCAGTTACTAAAAATCAGAGAAAAAATGTCAATTTTGTAAACTGACAAAAATTGACAAATTTTCTAAATGCTTGATTTGACAACTAGCCAGCGAAATGTAAATCGAACGTTGTCCTGAAAAAAATATTTATTTTTAAGAAAAGCTATGAGTGTTTTCACTTGAAATTTTCAGGCAAGGCAGTTTAACTTTTGCGTGAAGTTTTGTGAAAAATTATCGGGGAAAATGCTTAAACTAAAAAGAATTCAGTCTGTGTGTGCGGAAATTTTGGTAACGTCTGAAAGTTTATACGGCGTTTGTCCTTACCCTCATCGACTTTCGGTAAAATCTGCAATTACCGCTGATCTGGCAGCCTGGCAACTAGGAGCCGAGAGGCCATTGACAGGTGTTAACGGCTCGGTTGCGAATCTGCGAGCCACGAAAAGAATCCGTTTTTGTTGTAGGCCTCCCTCGTCACGACGGCTCGTTTTCGCGCGATTAATTGCTGCGAATAGTCGAGCGAGTGAACGGGCCATTGATTTTAACTTTCGTGAAATTAATTGCTGTACCCAACGGACCTAGAAGCGATTCACGAGGGGTATGAAAGGGGTACCGAATGCCGGATTTTGAACGACAAGTTAGTCGGGAAAACCTTCGTTCAGCAACGAATACGACTCTCGGCGATTTCAGCAATTTACTCGGGGCTTTTTTTTTAGCTCTTACGGGGGAAAAAATTTAATTTTCTTTTCATTTTTTTTTTAAATGTGTTAATTGAGTCATATCTTTTTGCCGTAAAATAAGTGGAAAATAAAGAGAAAGCCCAAAAAATCAGTTATGCATTATCGAACAAGTTTTAGCCACACACACACACATTCAAGTTTTCCAGAAAAAAATTTCAAATTAATTTTTGGGACCGGGAATTCTCAACCCTCACTGTTAAGTGAGAAATCAGTTACTACGCTAGAATCAGTAAATTAAAACTTTCCGCATGAGGAACGACCAAAATCAAGGACGTCTTTAAATTAACCATTGAATGAAAATATATCATACCATTCCACAAATAAGTGGTGTTGAATTTTACACATTTCTCCTTAATCTATGCATTGGTCCTGGTAAGGTCACCAAATGGACGTATTTCTACCAAGAGGAACCAGAGACGGGTGGGGAATAAGGAGTGTGCTCGTTAGTCGAGGACCATAAGAATGAATGGGAATCATAAAGCACCAGGGACGTTAACGCAGCGGCGGCTACCGCCGCGGTCGCCCGTCGTGGTAGGACTCATGAGCCCTGTCCACAACGCTTTCGTCCCATGCCCACGGCTCATGAGTGCAGCCGTATATTTCGGCACTTAGTTCCGTTTGATTTAATGTATAAAATCCCGTTTTTCCATTTCTCCAAAGGAATCACGTCCACTTTTACATTGCTTCTCATGCAGCTTTCTATAAGAGCACCCCCCTGTTCCCTACACATCTCTAGCCCCGTTTAGCAGAACTACGTCCAAATAAACGTCAGCACACTAAGAAACTATTAAATTGTTGAGAGCGCAAAAATGTTCATTGGCAAAATTTGTATATTTTGGTTTTCTGATAAACACGAAATATGATTGGACCTACGTGGGAGAGGACTTCCAGGACTTTATGTCCACCGCTATTTATGTCCACTAAACGTTAAGTCCAGTCTTTATTAAGTCCACATGATTTAATGTCAACAATGAATAAGTCCAAAATTGTCAAAATCGTGGACATGTTATGTCCACATTTTTTTCTTCTCATTTAAATGACAGGAGCCACCTCAAAAATAAATGCATACTACTACTACCTTCATTCTTAAAAAAAAATTTCATTCATGAATCAAGTTATGAAAGAGAACAGACTCTAAGAGCAGATAAAAACATATCGACGGTGAAACTACCAAACCACGTATCTCGTTTGCGGTGTTTAAAAATCTACGCTCGCATTTTATTTTTTCGAAGTAGACCAAATCAATATCATTCCTTGAAATTTTCACATAATTTTCTCCGCACGAAGAGGAAAAATCACAGAAATTTTCAAGACTGGACATTAAGTAGTTTTTCATTTAAAAAATAAAGTATGATAGGAAGTCTGCGACGTCGCAAACCGAGATACGTGGTTTGGTAGTTTCACCGTCGATATGTTCGTTCATGTGTACACTGTACGGATATGATAAGATGAAAACCAAAGCGGGAGCCTAGGAAACGCTCCAATGCCAAATTAAACATTTTTCAGTAATAGATGCAGTCAAAATTGAAAGTCCTCTTTAACTAGTTATTCCGTGCGTCTTCAATCTTGTAGGATACTGTGCAACGCCTCTGACGCGAAATAGTTGCTTTAAGCGTTGCGGCGCGGCAGGCTACCAGCGTGACAAGCGCATAGGCGCCTACAAACCTAACGGGATACTTCACGCGTTGCGCAATGCGTGAAGTATCCCGTTAGGTTTGTAAGCGCCTATGCGCGTTCTGCGCTGCTAACACGCCGCTCCGCTCTGTGTTAGGCTCTAATATTTAAACTCGCGGAGTCAGCGTTTTTCAACTTATGATTTTGAAATGTTTCCACTCTCTGCATTGATTATTCCCTTTTAAACTGATGAAAAATAGTGTGGGCTTTAGAACTATGGACGTAAAAATTGTGGACGAAAAGTCTGTGGACGTAAAAAAAGTGGACATAAAGTCCGTGTACCGGGAAACGCTAATTTTGCATTATAAATAGACAATTTTGATGCAATCATTGTACTCTACTGCAAAATGAAAAAAAAATATGTTTCACGATTTAATTTTAAGGCTACATTAATGAGGAAACTCCAATTTTATTTTATTTTTTTTTTTTTAACAGGTGTTCTATGCTTTGTGATCGTGTACGCAACGCCCGGGTCGGTGGTCATTTCGGCGTACTCGTTGATGGGTCGCCAGCTATGGGTGGTCACACCGCCTTTCGATCGCCACGAAAGTACCGCCTCAATACAACAAGTAAGTTACTGTTCTACCTTAGTCGTCGTTACTTCAAACTCTTTAACTCCATAGATGTTCACAAATTGTTCTTAGTCATACCTGAATATTTAAACGGAGCAAACTTCCATGATTTTTCAATAGTTATCCAGTAATAATTGGGAACGTCATTTGATCCATATCTTAAGGGAGGATTTGTTAGGAGGAGGAACTTGCTTACGACCCAAACTTCAACAAATGCCTGTGGTGTGTACCGAAATTAATAGGCTCTATATCATCGAAACAGCTCAGTTCTACTGAAATTTTTTTTCACTGTATAAGACTACATCTTAAATTATACAGAAAGCACTTGAGCAAGGGGTTGGGATTTTACGCCTGCATCCACGACTGCCGAGTTAAGCTGATCTTTAAGAGCTTTCCACAAACTTGGGGGACTGGATCTCGAAATTGACCTGCCTAGCATGGGTAAAGTGTTTCTTGTACAATGTTGTGCGTTACGACCAAATCATAAATTCCGAATGCGTGCGACCTGCGAATGGCTTCAGTATATATTGGGGGAAAATATCATCACATGCGATGGTGTTGTGAGAAGAAAGGTCATTAAAGAAAACAATACGTCAGTGCCCAAGCTTTTAAATAAAGTTTTTATGATATCGTTCGTAGGAAAACATGCATTCCGATTTAAGACAATGAGAATTCCTATGGCGTTTTATTCTTACAAGAGAGAGCAAAGAATTAGTTATCTCTGGACTCTAAACTACGAGATATTTTTCCTCCCATCGGTTGATTTTTTTCTTTCTACTTTTAAAATCTAAGTACAACATGTTACAAAGTTTCCTCGAGAAGTTTTGTAACATTAATTGAATATGTGAATGACCGTATGACAGCTGACCCAGGAGGTTTCAAAGAGATGGTCTTTTGATGTAGATCCGGTAGTATTTCCAGACGGGATTGCGTCCGGAATGTAACAGTACGGAAGATCATGGATGACACACAGAGCATCGTGCATGAAATTATGACGAAACAACTTATATGATACGGTCATATTCAGAAAACGACAGGAGAGGACAAGTTCCCGAAGAAGGTCCTAGATAGCTTTCCTCCTGGAGGAACGTTTAGAGGGCATTCGCACCCAATGAGGGGGTGGAGGGATGAAAATGTTGCAGATATGTTACGGTGGTCGATGCCCAAAAGGTTGTGGTTCGATAGGAGATGGCGGTTGACAGTCGTCGGGCGTCAAAGAGTGCTGTAAAGTGACATGCAAAATTATACATGAATGACTGAATAAATTAATAAAATTTATGAACGACTTTAAGGAAACCATTATTTTTAAAAATTAAAACATGAGCGAATACTAGCAACGTCGCAATCGAAGGCACAAGTTTTCCAATTTTCATCATCGATATGCAAATATATTAAAAAAATAGATGAAAACTGTAACACTCCTCAAACAAATTCGCACTTTCCCCTAAGTTTCGGACCTACCGTAAAAATTCGATTAACCGGATTTTCTGGACCTGTAGACACCCTATCAGATTTATCATAAAAAGGAAGTTCAGCGCTCTGTCCAAAGCATCAAAAGAACCCGTACCGCATGAAAATCAAAACCAATCAAAAAGGTGACTCCCCTCTCCTACTCATCCACTTCTTTTTCTGTCCCCCACCCCCACCCCGAGGGTAAGAGGCTTTTTAATTAGATTTAAACTTTATAAGGAATCAACTTTCTGGGCGGAACGGCCTAATAATCGCCCAAGCGTAATGAGGAGGCAACAGAACGGGAATGGGTGCTGGGGTGCCATTTATCAAACGGATACGAGGAGATCTTGCGGCGCTTTCGGATATTAATCATATTGAAGCGCCGCTCCGATGTATTTCGAGGGAAACTTCCTTCCACTCGGCAACGAATTAATAAAATTGCCGTTGTCTTATATCCGCTTTCGATCCCGCTGATACCGATTTGCCGGGAACGAGTAAAGTGCCTCCTTGAAAATAAAATTTTGGGGATGAGAGTTTCCCGCGTAAGAATTGGACGTAATTTGTTAGTCCTCTGGCATTAAGACGAAATTACCTTTTGAGTTAAGCTTTTTCGTCCATATTAATGCATAATTTTCAAGGTTCACGTTAAAAATGAGTTACGTCTCAATAGGTGCCAGAATAAGGAGATGAATCTTTGCACCGGCGGCATTCATACATGACGCAATGCTGAGTTCAGCTCCTTAAGCAAAATATCGAGGACTTTTTATGAAGTTAAAATTAGAAAGATACGGGACTTCCAAAGACTTGCTAAAAGAAATTTGAATAATGTAATGTGCTAACAAAATTTTATCTGAAGGCCATAACATTAATTGTTTCAAAAATTGAATTGCACCTCCTCTTACACCTTAGGTTAGGTTAGGTTAGGTTAAATAACGCACTTTCTTTCATGTTCAATCCATCTTTCTCTCTTATCACACTTGAGTATGTTTCTATCGTGGCAGATGAGGGTACCTCAAACCTTTCTCCCTTTTTACGCTTGCGTGAAGAAATATTCGAATGACCCCTTAATTCTCTACTTATCACCCCAAAAAAAAAAAAAAAAAAAAAAATATCTTTAGAGATACAAACTGTAAATCAAAAGATACTTCCCAATCTTTTCTGCATCAGATATCTATCGGTTCAGGGTTGAGGCTCTAACTGGGGCAGGGAAGAGACGCAAAGAGTATTAGATGACACTTTTCCTTGTATCTTAGACACAAACCGTTTTTCGCCCGCGGGCTACGAGTACGTGAGGAAACAAATGTGAGACATACGAACCAAGCTATTTGGAATTGGCATTGCAAAGATCTCCATGGTGAAACAAGAAAGACAAAGCTTCCAGTGACTAACAAGATGAATTAAGCTCAAAAGTTAATAATTTTTAATTACAGAAAATATAAAAATACAGGAACTTAATTAATATTTTAATCTTAATTACATAGCTATTTAATTAAAGGAACATTTAAAATACTTAAATCACAGGATTACATGAATACACTATGTAAATTAAAATGAATAATTACGCAAATCTTAGTTTTCAACTGCAAAAATATAGTTTAAGGAAAATCTCTTAAATAATTCCTGCTCAATGGCAAGATTAAATAGCTGCAGTAAATTAACTGTACTGAGGTAGAATAATACCTCATACCAAATTGCTTCTTAACTTTAAGATTGAACGGGAGGAGAAACGAAAAAATAACTATTTATAATATTGAATGTAAAAGTTAATCTTGAGGGTGAAGACGCTTAAATTGCAGAAATGACCAAATGGTGTAAAATTCAAGGACATTCAAATGCATTTGGGCAGTTCACCAATATTCTGATGTACTCAACATATTTTCGAGCGCCAAGAATCCTAGACGCCACAGAAGTGTCTGTTATCAAATTGCGTTGCTTTATTTGCCATTCAAACTCCGAAGGATAAATAAATCTCTCAAGGACAACATCAACTTGACGAAGGCTCCATTTTTATGATCGAAAGTATTTTCCGAGGGCATGGCTTCACTCTTCATTCAACCCCACAGACGGCGAGATCATTGCAATACACGAGAACTAGAGTCGTCACGCCAGACAATATTGACTTCTCCACACCCAGAAACGGTCGGAAGTTCCCAGTTGTCGTGGGAAAGTTCGAACTTGCATGTGAATAGAGAACTAGTGCCAACTTCATTCACGACCTCGCGTCGCCATCCTTTGCGTTACTCTCAGCAATGTGATTTACGGAATCAGAAATTAACTTGAAAATCCTGTAAGGATTTCTCTTAACACGTCTGAGATGCATTTTTGTGACTGCAAATTTTGAGCAGGGTGAACTTTACCCAGAAGTTTTGGTTTGCTAAAAGTTAAGTAAAGTACAACCTTGTCCTTGTATTATAAACGTCAGCTCAGCATCTGTATTGATGGTGGTCTTCGATCCAGGCCCGCCACATCCCATCTCGGGCCCTGGTACCAGATTTCTGGCCCGGGCCCCTAGCACAGAGGGGGGTCTGGGGGGCCTCCCCCGGGAAATTTTTGAAATTTTAAATCTATTTGGACGCATTTTGAAGCTCTTATGATGGAGATTTTCCATCAATTTCTGCAGAATAATTACGCTTTTTTTTTACTTTCAGCACCAAATACTTTCGAACTGTTGCATTCAAAACATCTATAAAAATTTTTTTGAGGGGGGCAGATGATACTTTTCAATTCTAGGGGGAGCCGGGCCCCCTGGACTCCCCTTTTGTACGTCTATGGCAAGGGAGATGAGCCATTGAAGTCGATAATGCCCGGACAGGGGCCTCTTAGCATCCGACAACAGAAGAAAATGAACCGCAGTTACTCAAAATATCATTCTACATATACTCAAAATCTTGAAAATATATGGAATCTCTAAAAAAGTAAGACAAATTTTATATTGCCCTAGCGTGTATTTGAAACTTCATTCATCTTTTGCGGAATTTTTAGGGCCATTTTTTCACTTTTCCTTACGAGACAAGGATTACACATGAATTCGTAGGGGATTGTCACCTGCGTCACGGGCCCCTCCAGGGCCCGGGCCCCGGTACCGAGGACCCAGTATCCCCCCCCCCTTGTGGCGGGCCTGCTTCGATCCATGTGCATACGTTCGACGTTTCCATCAGACAAAGTCAAAAATTCAATGCCACAGTGTATTTTTTTTTCTTTCTTTCTTTTTCATCGAGGTTTTACGCAGAGCACCGTAGAGTTGCTTAGAGGCAGTCTTTGTACTTGGGCCGATCGTTTAAATATTCTATCTAGGTTACAAGTCAAACATTTTCCTTATATCTTGGTGTATTATCACTATTAATCAACGAAGTAAATCCAAGAGAATATCCCTATAAATCCGTTCAACTTAACACAACTTCCTTTTCCTCCTTCTGGCATTCAGTGTTCGCAATTTCAAATTTCACCGTGGTTTATAGCTCATTTATTGAAGGCACTAAAAATTTAGGGTCGTCATTTCATGAAGAAAACTTACGTGCAAGATTTCTCTCTACGCTTCTATATAATATGCACAGGGAGAAAAAATCAAATTGAATGAGGTTGAGGTGGCGAGATTTCTTAATATCACTCCCGACGGAACCGTATTTATGGGTAGATTAGAATACATATTGTTGTCCGCTGAGTAGACCTGAAGGTAAACTGCTGCGGTTTTACGCGAGGCGCTAATTTGAAGATAATAAGTATATACGAGGAAAAGTAATGAAAAAGTTCAAAATTTAAAGAACGACGCATGACCCTTACGTTCAAAACTGTAGGGTATGCTTCTCTTTCATTTAAATATCTGCGCTGAAATCCTTCCGGAACGACAAAAACCGAGGAAGGGCAACCGCGTTTCGTATACTACCGTGCTGAGGACAAACGCCGAATGAAAATTTAAGGGTTGCCAAATTTCCTTCGATTAAAGGTTTATTTTTGAATAAAGCTGTGGATATTTTTCCCACATTTTTTTAATTTTCAGGAACTTTAGGTGCAATTGCTAACAAAATTATCTGAAAAATTGGAGGAAAAATATTTAAAATTTTCCCCAAAATTCGTGCTTTACTAAGGGAAATTTGGCAACGCCTGAAGGCTCATACGGCGTTTTCCCTTATCAAGGCAGTATAGGGTTGTAGTGTCTTTTGGCAATAGCCAGTCACAAATGTCCCAGTGCAGCTTCATAGCAAGGCGCAAAATGGACGTATTTAAATCAAAAGAATCCATCTTCATTGTGACATGGGCCCTGTCATACATGTATTCTTATGGGTTTCAGGGCCCACATCATAGGTAAGGGATATACTATTTTTTATTTAATTACCCCCAAATGTTTCCGCTGCACGCAGTCGCGAGACACTTACTTGGGTTATTCGAAGTGATACAAATATTTTCACTCTCCGGATATGCGGAAAGTATCTCGCCTGTTTGAAGGCATTTTCACCGTTTGATGTTCTGCAGGGAAAGAATAAGTCCTTAATATCGTGCGATGCATGTTACGCGGAGGACACTTTTAAGATCAGAGTTTACTGGTGACTTGTTGTAAATTGCACTAACAAAGCAAAGTAAGAACCTAAGTGGTCCATTAAGTCAACTGTCACAGGAGAAAAAAAGAAGATCATTTACGTAATTACGAGTATAAAATGACATCAGCAAGGCTTTAAATATTTCTGTAAATGTGTGGAGTGAATTATGGTAATTTCGTTTAGTTTGTGTTGACTTTGTGAGCAAATTTAAAAACGGACATGTACATGGAATGACCTGCAGATTTAATTTGTGTTTCAGAAAAAGCACGTCCAATTTTCGGAGTTCTAGTATAATTTTCACATAGTTGATAGAATTTCTGCAATAGAAAGGTATTCTGCAAAAAACTTATTTGTGATCTTTTGGACGGGTTAGGTTCACGTCAACTGATTCTATAAAATATGGCTACAGTCGAAAAATGCGCATTTTCGATTGCAACGTCGGAAGTCTCATTTTATTTTTAATTTTTCAAAAAAAAGATAAACTACAGTTTTCATTTAAATTTTCAAAATATTTTCTATACTCATCCAAAAAATTCGCAGACGAATCCAAGGAAGCATTTTCATCCGTTTTCCTACAATGAATAAAATTCAATCGGAGATATTAAACGTTGCTAAGGAGCTACACTGGAAAAACGTCGCTTGAATTTTGAGTCCGGACTCTTAGAAACACCGACAAGAGAAAACACTCTTGATTCAATCGGACTTTTTGCTTGAATCAAAAGGAAATCCGCCTAAATTAAGAGGCTCGGCTCTTCGATTCAAGGAAAAATCGGATTGAATCAAGAGTATTTTTTCTTGTCAATGTTATTAAGAGTCTGGGCTCTAGATTCAAGCGACTTTTTTAAACCTAGTGTACGCATTTTTCCCTCTAGCCATCGTTGTGCTCCAGTAGTATTCTGTGTCAGTGTTTCAAATAATTGATTTTCACTGATACATTTTTTTGTGTTGGTTGTTTTCAGCAACGAGTGATCAAGGAACGGCGAAGGGCAGCGCGAATTCTGCTGCTTCTGGCCATCCTCTTCGCTCTCTGTTGGCTCCCTTACAATGTGATAAACCTCATGCTCGATCTCGACATCCGGTGGCAAGAGGTAACCAATTAAACCGTTTACAAGTTACATCCCTTTCCAGGTTTCCCGGACAAGCATAGACGCTGGGATTACAATAAACCAATAGACAGGGTACGAATTTAAGCATTCTAATACATGTTTCTTAACCAAAATTTCACGTAGAACACGATTCGCGCAACAAAAGTTACTGAAACCAACTCTTAACGAAGATATTAACCTTTTTATTTCATATTGGTTACGAGGAATCTGAACTGCCCGCTCACAAGAAACTCAAAGCTCTACGTGAGTCAAATCGCGCACTACAAAGGTTTCAGCAAACTTCTCAATCAAGCGATGTTCATTTCCCACCATGTGTTGTTCAAACTATAAGCAATTTGCTATAGCTGAGCCAAAGCGTCAAGACTGAGGTTGCCAGATTTTTATATCGCTGAGACGTTCATGATAACGTTTAGCGCGCGATGTGAGCCACGTAGAGCATTGAGTTTTCATGAGCGGGTGGTTTCAATTCACGCATCAAGAATCATTAAATATCTTCGTAAGGAGTTCATTTCGATAATTTTCGTTGTGCGTATCGTGTTCTACGTGAAATTTTGGTGAAAAAACATGTATCAGAATGCTGAAATTAGTACCTTGTCTAGTGTTCCATTTTTGTGTCATTAGATTTAAATATAAGATATATCATAAGGGAAAAAACGCGTCGGAATAAACATTTGCGACTTCCCGGGTTTTCCGGGTGTACGCAACTACTCAGCTGATGAACGACGCCAATGGGTCAGTTGCGCTGGTCACATAATTGTGTTTTGACGCTTGATTTTTGTAGATAAGCTGACAATAATAAGATCCGTCCAAACCGCAACTTTCTACGTTCAATATTGACCGAGATATCGCCGTTTGAAAAGTCGGGTTTTTGACGTCATCCACCGCGGTAGTGACACCCTTGGTTTCTTCCACCTCGATTTCATCCGCATTTCACGTAGAGTAACCAATATTAATATGTGTGTCTCCCTGACTGATAAAATCAAGGTGGAAGAAACCAAGTGTCATTTTCGCGGTGGATGACGTCGAACCCCGACATTTCAAAGGGCGATATCTCGGTTAATATTGAACGTAGAAAGTTGCGGTTTGGACAAATCCTAGTATTTTTAGCTAATCTACTATAATCAAGCATCAAAACACAATTCTGTGACCAGCGCAACAGAACCCTTAGTTGACAAACAAAACTAATTGGATTATGTACAGCACCAAGGAGGTCAGAGTCAAGCGACTGGATTGGCCGCTGATTCTAAATCTTCATATTGTCTTTTTAAAAAGTTTGAGTGTGACGGCAACTAGAGTACCTGTATAGCGGGAGTATGGACAGATGTGAAACTCCGAAAATCCATCAGGCCTTCACCGATGCTTCTGCGAATGAAGTTAGGGCCCAGAAATGCAGCCAACCTATGAATTTCAATTATCCAGAACGATTTACTAATACTATTGTTACGAACCGTCGTTTATTAAGCACGTGTTTGACTCAGTTTTTGCATAAATTTACTCAATTTCGCGGAAGAACGCTCATTTCTGTACATTCTTTGCCATCATGGTTAGAATTGGAATCTGCAGACTGGCAGTGAAATTTTGTGCGTTAGAAGTTGGTTAGAAGGGTGGCTGCACTTTTGGGCCCTAAGCCCTCCATGAAGCGATCTGTCCATACTCTCGCTATACAGGTACTCTAACGGCAACCGGGTTTAAAGAAATGAACGTCACTGCGAACGAATTCGCGCTTCAGACGTCGCCGTCGCGTCGACTCGAGCGACGGAGTAGAAACTTTCGGGCGGATAAGAGACAGGAGCCTTTTGTCGGGCGAAACGAAGCGACGTCGATTCATTGATTTCACGGCTCCAAACCCGACAAGATGGTGCTCGTTTAACGCATATTTAATAATGCGAGGAAGCGCCCGATTACAGTTCGCAGCAGCCGGGAGCTAGGAATTCATTACGCTCCAAACTCGCGGAAAGTTTCCAACTTGGGTGCCCCGAAAAAAAGGAGGAACGCGCGATTTGATTGTTGTTCCCCAGTTTGAAGTAATCGTTTTTCTTCCGTCGCGGACCCCTCATTACCGCATTTTTGATCAGGCGGAAAACCCGAGGTGGAAAAATAAATCTTTCCAAGCTTTGTTTTCGTTTACGTATTTAAGCGCGTGCACGGGAGAAGCGACCTTGGTATCGAATAACTCAGAACTGTGGTGATAACACAGGGTGTCTGGTTTTTTTTCATAATAGCACACATACCTAAGTGATTGTATGTATACCTTAGTATGGTACGAGATACCTTAGTATGGTTCACAGACTGAGAATCATTAGTTCCTTTACGACTATTAGTGGTGTTCCATTTGAACCACCTAATCGGTTTATTAAGCCTTAGATTTTTCTCCGTGCGGACCTTTGGGCCCCTTTTCCCATGGATTATAAAAAATATGGACCACATTATGCGATAAAAAACCGCGATTTCTAGCTCATTCATAGAAACACTCATTTGTATAGAGAAACTAATGACACTAGTGTTATTTTCTAGAATGAGCCGGGAATAAAAGTTTCTCATTGCAATAAACAGTCCATCAAATCCGGTTAAACTCAACCGATATAACTGGAAGGACATACCTAATTCGGGCAAAAGCGGGAATGAAGGTGCGGAAATAAAGAGGCGGAAATACAAATATAAACTGAAGCGCCGCGATATTTTGAATTCTATTTAAGGCTGGCGTGTTAAAAATATGGCAAAATGTGAAAATCAAAAAATAAGTCTTAGATTTGCACCGACAGCAAAAACTTTTTTGGATAACGATGTATTACGCGTGAATGAAACCTGAAGTACTGGGCTCATCCTAAAGTAATTAGATGTTGTATTGATACATATTTATCTGACGTGCGTGAGTGGAGGAAAATACAGAAGCCCCGTGTGTAGGTACGTTGAATATACAAAATCAATTTTTCGGACAGTTCGCGTGTTTACCCGTAAAAATAAACCCTTCAAGATATTTTCTCTTCATCGACATGAAAGCACGTGGATCGCCGTTGGTTATCTGTGTAGGTACTTGTGTTTATTAAACATTTAGACGGAACGCACCTCGAGCTAGCGTGATTGAGCTTTCACTGTTCAACGAAGAATGGTAAGAGGCAGGGTCGGTGTCTTAATAGAAAGGCATACTGTGGTTGCCAATTTTCAAGTGAAAGTATACACCTACACATTTCTCCTTGCGGAAAAAATATATTTCTAGCAAGGGAAGGATTGTAAATGCGCTATTTTCATGAAAGAGTACTGTCGGGTGTTTGCAGAGATTATTTAGCTACGTTTGACTGTTATAAGCGGGACTGCAAACTTTTCTTACAACCAGGATGTCTACAAAAACAGGCTGGCCAAAAATCAGTAATTTTACAGTAATTTTTCAGTGCACTCAAAAGAAATTCAGTACCTCATCAACAGAAAAATTCCGTACTCTTTTAGTACCTCCAATTGACGAAATTCGTCAAATTTAAAAAAAATCGAATTTCCCGCTCAAATTGCGACAAAAATGACAAAAAATGAAAAAATTCCGGACCATCTTGCGGAATTCCGCTCTTTATCAGTACTTCCGGACTGCCCTGAAAAATCAGTATACTTTTTACGGACTTTCCGGAATTCAAGACTTGTAGACACCCTGACAACAGATCTGAAATAGACACGATTAGATAATTATGATAACTGTGCACACTTCTAGGAAAGATGGTCATTTCCTTTTGGTGGAGCGGCAGACAATAATCACTGCTCTACACGCTGACTATTGAGATAAGACAAATAAGCAACAGACTCAGAAGACATTGAGCGATCCTATTGGTAGCAGCGGGTAAGTTGCGATGGACAAAAAAGGTAATAGACTAACTAACGGCAACCCACGAGAGACCCTTCAGTTAGTCCATTATTTTCCCCTGTTAGTCTATAAAAACCACCCGTTCCAGCTAAAATCGCTCCGCTTTCCCTTTGTCTATAGCATTGTCTATTAATTACACGAATCAGCCCGCTGCCGGGGAAGAACGTCGGATGTAGAGTCTAATAATGTTGTTAAGTTCCTCCTAAGGCAAATAGAACCATAATTTTCGCGTTGAGTCTCATTTACCTTATTTTAGGATTTGGAAGAAATTTTTACTTTCTCGCTCCCCTAGGGTAGAGAGGAAGTATTGTCATCCTCCAAGAAAAAAAAAAGTTGAAATTTCATCATTTCTAGACGTTTTAAGGTCACATGAGTCAAAATAACCATACTTGACAAAATGTGTGTCCCTGTCCGTCCGTCCGACGTCCCCCAAATCTGTGTACAGCGATATCCCCGAATCTATCTGTTGGATTTCATTCAAAATTCTCACAGAACACCATATCTATGGTCTCCTTATGCACGTCAAACGATTTTGGGGTACGCTAAAATTTGGGGGGGGGGGAGGGCTAGTTTTGAAATATCCTCCACAAATAAGTATGCTTCTACGCTTTATTGCATCTCTATTTTTGCGAGGAGCGAAAAGGAAAACTCGTATTTTAGCAGAATTAAAGTCGATATATCGATATTTGTTTACTTCCTGAGAAATCATCTTAAGGTGTTCGCAGCGAACGATAATAATCGATCCTAATCTATAGGTTCGAATGGCAGATGAATCGATTCATCGCAAAACACGACGCACCTTCGTCAGCAAAAACCAACTTTCGAGCCAGTCCGATTCTCGCTCCACTCTCCCTCTGCCTTTATCACAATGCTGTTATTTCAAACGCCGCGTCTCGTCCCGGTAACCTGCATTTTATTTCCACCAGTGGCGTGGCGTGCTTTGCGATGTATCGAGTGTTATGCCATTTAAACCTATGGAAAAGGATCGATTAACAGGGTGTTCGCAGCGAACACCTTAATAATCGATTCTTTACCATAGGTTTAAATGGCAGAACAATCGATACATCGCAATTCACGCCACGCCACTGATTTCCACGTGAGGAATTTTCGCTAGGGGCTCCTCCGTTTCCACTGA